AGAAGCCTGATTTTTGGACCCCTCCTGAAACAGGCCCTTGGCAATTGGAGTCACTACAGCAGGCATTCGATTGTGGGGAAAGAGGTCAACCTCTCTCAGCTTCGTGGGGACTGCAGTAATTGCTCTGAATGAATTTGGTCCAATGACCTCGGAGTTTCCGAGGATTATTTTTTTTTGAGTCCAAGGGTCCGTTACACCACAAGTTTTTGGTGTGTCCCCTGTGTAGGCAACAACATGGCCCGGTCGTGGTCCTGTGGTTTTGGGCCACTTCCCCATTCCGCGCGGTTAAAGGCCTTCCGCATCAGACAGCAAGAGCACAGCCTTGCCTTAAGTGATGCGACCCACACCTGCACCGCTGACTTGCAGCATCTTAGTCTTAGTCCTTGAAACCATACGTCCCTACGTGACCCCTCCAGCTCTTTTCAATGACTCATCTCGAGGCTGCGGCCGGCCAGCCAACAAGGAGCAAGGCTACAAGAGTCCTGAGCCCGGGACTGGGTCAAGTCGAAAACCTCCGCCCTACTGACTTGACTCCATGGAGAGCCTTAAAAAGGCCCCCGCACTTGGTGGGAAGGACCTCCTTGGCCCCGAAGAGCACCCAAGGAGCCCCGAAGCGGACGGCCCCCGAAGCGGCGCTGCATCGCGCTCCGCTGAGCTCCCCGGCCCGGCGAAGGAAGCGAGCCAATAGCAAAGCACGTGTGGAGCTGTTGCTACTGAGGCCTTGCGAGAACTCTCATTGGATAGGGTCAAGGGGAGCAAAAGCTACAAGGGAAATCTTAGCATGTCTGAGCCTTGCCCTACATTGTACATACCCACAGCTCGAGAGATCATATCGCAATCAGCCTCCCTGACCCTAAGAACGCTGAGAACCTCAACGTCAACATCCGTATCGCCGATACCGCAAGTCAGGAAGACGAACAAATGCCACAAATGCCCAGATCTAGATCACAAGGACAAAAACAACTCCAACCCGATCTTAGATCGCCTGGCGGCGGGCCGCTGCATAGACTGCCCAGCTTGTCCCCATCATGGGGTTCATGGCCTCAGGTGTTCGACCCAACACCAACATCCGACGAGGGTGGCAAAACCCTCCAAAACCACATGTGGGAAACCTTGGGAAGCTTCACAGGCCTTGCAAAAAATGGCCTGACAGAACATCCAACATGGGCATTGCCAAAGTCACCAGACCGCAACTGGGGTTGCCAATGGTCCTCTCAATTTTGGGGTTCCTGGGTGGCCTCACATTGTGGGATTGGGATGTTAGTCTAAGTTCGTGCATGCGTCTTGGTGGATGCCTAGCACCTTTTTGCATGTCAGCACGTGTGTCACGTGCCTTGTAACGGTGATAGAGTTCTTGAAAAGTAGAGAAAAGCCGATAAATTCGGAATGGGAACCTGTGAGCCTCTCAGACAAGGATTCTGAATACCCATTGTTGTGCGAGCATGTGCGAGCACACGCGCTCCCTAGAAAGGCATCATCTTCCTGGATCCAAAACCGTCCGAAGAGCACCACTCTGCATCGGAAGGTGTGCTGATGCAGGTAAAGGATTTCTGAAGAACATCGGAGAGGCGTCTGCAGCTCCGCCATTCCGAAACGAACAGGCCTCCCGGCAGGTCCAGCCTCAGCCCGGGTGGATGGTCCTTCGAGACCCTTCAACTGACGAAGTGGAACGAACCAACCCAGTTTGTAGAGGATTATTTGACCTCTTCACAGGGCTGGTCATCACGAGCTGTTCCTTGTCATGAACATGAGTCCAATGGAGAGTCCTTTGGTGTCTGGGGTCCCTCGAGTCCACGCCTTTCTGAGTCGAGGGCCTTGTTGAAGAGCGACAAGTTCAGTCGAACGACCACCTCGCTGAGCGAGGCGAAACTCTTTTTTAGCTTCGCGATGGGAAGCTTTGAAAAAAAATAACATATCATATAGACTCAATAAACCACTCCGTGTTTGGCTTCGGTGCATCTGTGAAGTCTACAGTGATCACTCCTGCACTTCAGGTGCCCGGGGAAGCTGGCTGGCGGGCACCAGCTTCGAGGCACCGGATAGAATCTCCCCGCCAACCCTCCTTGGTCTCCTCGCAATCATCAGGAGCTCTTGGAAGAGCCACATCTGAGCGCTTCAGTGCACTACAGCACCGTTTTTTGGTTTCAATGGGAACTACCAGACAACCCACCCATTGCAATCCCTGAATGTCTGCTCAAACCGTCCAGACAATCGTATTGAGGGGGGTCGTATAAAGTAATATAGCATAAATTAACATAGAATGCATATGTATTAAATATTCAATACATATATATATATATGCATATACTGTGCGTGATTGTGTGTGTCTCTGGTGTTGTTCTATGCCTGAGCTGATGCGAGCCTTCTTCCCAAATAGCGCCTCCTTGCCCCAGATCATGGCGAGCAGGAGGAAGGTCGCTACTGCCTGTTGCGCTGGCGCGTTCGTTGCAAACGCGCAGAGCTAGCACAAAGCTGATCACATCTTTCCAGTTAAGCTTGGTTGGGAAGTTCTAGTCATGGCATCCTGGGGTAGGAGCAAGGACGCTACTAGGGGCTCACCGGCTAGGCCTCATCACGGCAGGACTCCGTCAGGGGCGCGCTGGTGAGGCTGGGGCCTGACCTGGGTGCCATCTCGGTCCTAAGCTTTAAGTCAAGACCCATCACAGTGAGAAATCTCTGCTCGGAGCTAGTGGATTGGGACACGTAAGCAACACCTCATAACAGCATTAATTAATTTTGGTTCTTCTTTTGGACTGAGGGTGAAGGGGTTGCGCTATGCTCTTGGTGCTGGGTGCCGCGTTCAGTCTTGGAATCCCTGCAATAGGGGCAGCCCTAAAAGACTGCTCAGCCTGGGGCGAGGAAGTGTTTGGGGGAGAGTTGTCAGAGATTGGTAACACAGCAGCGCCCGCAAGGTTCGCGAAAACAGGTGGTGGGGTTGAAGGGGCTCTTGGTGTTGGGACATTTAGTACGCGTAAACACACGCCAATTTGCAACTCGCTGTAGGGTACGCTCCGGAAACTGTCACCAAGACCAAGGCCTCTCCAAAAGCAGGTGCCCTGCCTGCCGAGAAACCATTCCGGAGCATTTCCTGGGGTGCCACACCCCCAAAGACCTACTTCTGATTTCCTGGCTGTGCCAAATACAAGGGGCCCTTGAGATGAGATGGTTGGTTCGTGAGATGTTTATGTATCACTGTATCACTGTAATTTGTGTGGGTGTGTGTTCCATGGGCCCATCCCCATATGAACCACATCAACCTATGATCTGGAGGATCTTAAAACTTGTTCACGCTACAAAAGGCTACAGCTGCCTCACAATGACGAGCCAACCCTTGGAACACAGTGAAACGCCCATGAAGAAAAAGAACATCAGCTTTGATTCTTTGAGCACACTTGATTCAATACTATGTTCATAAAAACGCCAGCGTCTTGGCATCCACCAGGCTCCCTTACGACGGCCCCCAAGAGTTGTGCGGCGGTCCGCCCAAGAAGGCCAGCATAGCTTAGCCGGCCTGCCCGACGATCTCAGGTGAGAAGCGACATGGAACCCCTTCTAGCTCGTTCAATTCACCCGAGTAATGACCACCGGCGCTCACATCTTAGTCCTGAAGGATACTTCATGATGTTTCCAATCACTATTACATAATATGTCATAATACAATATTACCCCCTGACCGCATTGAGCTGCCGGAAGAATGCTTCTTGATGTGTTAAATATACAGTAGTATTCATTCCAGATTATGGATCAAATAATTCGGTGGAAATTTGAAACGCTGTATATATACTGTACGAGTAGCATTCATTAATCCCAATCATGGAACAAATAGTTCTGAGATATTCTGAGGAAAGCATTGGACAGCTATGCCAATACCTTCTTTGCAGGTTGTTGCACCTATGGTGAGTTAGCCGTGTAAGCAAACGCGTCGCTTTGATAGGTCACACCATGTCCTGTTCAACGCTACGCGCCTAAGCAGGCCATGCCCAAAGAAACACTGGGATTCATGTCGGCTCCTCACAGAGTTCGCGGAAAAGTGAAACTCACTTTTCACGCCGCAAAGACCGGCTAAAATGAGTCGTGGAAGTCCGTGAGCATGTTGTAGTCAAATCGGGATCCCTTCATCTTCCCAAAGCAAAGCGTTCCAAGACAGCTCTCTCTCTCTCTCTCTCTCGCTCTCGCTCTCTTCTGACTCAAGAACTTTGGGAACTCCCCAACCTCTAACGATTGCGCATAATGCTGACTGCTGATAATAACCTCCGCCTCTTCATATGGGATGTTGCCTGGTTTCCCCAATCTGCCTCCGCTGCAACCGCAGAAGACCTCCGCCATTCAAACCTTGTCGAAGGGAGAGTCCACCTCCAAACATGATAAACTGTGCAAAAAACTTGGTCCGATCCGCCCAATCCCCTCGGAAAGAATCTCCTGCAGCACACAAGTCCAAGAAGATCATCCCCACGCCATGTACCAGCCATGCCTAGCTGGTGCCAACCCGTTGACCGTCCGAGGCGCTCATCGGACAGGGACATTTGACGAGCTTCTCTTTGAAATGGATTGATCGAACCAAAGGAAATTGCCAAAAAGCTTGCCATCTAATCTATTGGAACATGCCAATGGTGTAGAAGGTCCTTGGAACTTGGGACAGTCGCCTAAGAACTCTCTCAATGATGTCTCAGAGACTTGCGCCTCCCAGCCAGTCCCAACCCACCTGGGCGATGGATGGGAGAAGCTTGGGGACTTCTCCCACTGTCAAACAGGCCCCGCATTCCCAACATCAGCAACTAAACAAGGAGTGTGGGATTCCCAATGCTCAACCACTCTCACTATTTGATGCAAACTGCTAAACAATCTCGGGGATCCTCGTCTTCGCCACCATTGCCTTGGGCCTTGTGCAAACTGCACCCTCAGTGGTAGAATCTATATAGAAAGGATGAACTCTACTCTACTCACTACTCTTGCAAAATCCTCTCCACAAACACAGCACTCCTCGTCACATCGGGTCATGTTTCTGTCCGTGAACCGTTTCTGTTGCGCATCCTGAGACGGGCCACGTTGGGCCCTTTCAGGGCTGACCTCGGATGATTCAGACATGGTTTTCACAAATTCGTTCGGAGTGGGAAATGGAAAGGTGTTCTGTTAGTTGCTCTGCCCAGGATACTGAACGGGAAAGATTGTTAGAATAGTGCACCAGTTTTGAACGAGCCAATGGCCCGCCAAAAAACACACACTCAGAGAGATAAATCTATGCATGTTTTATCAGCAAAAAAAAATTATCGATCTACATGACTCACATGATGCAAGCTAGCAGCAACAGCAACAACCACAACAACAGCACATCGCAGTAAGCACGACCAGTACAGCACTTAACACGTGACAGCGACAGTACATTGTACAAAACATCATACGGCTGCAAACATGGGAGGCTGAGAGGTATTTGCACCCGATCCATTCGATAGCGCTAGATGTTTTTCCAATGTGTTTCTCAGGATGTTCTATCCGCACTGCTCCCAAAAATGCACACATGATTCCTTCTAGATATTTCCCCAAACAGTGTGGACACACTGAGGGGGTTCTTACGGTAGTAGTTAAGCAGCTGTGCTTAGATCGCTGTGATGCGCGGCCGTGTCCAGTACATTCATGCCTCTCAAAATCGTCGACGTGCATTTCGACTGCGCAGGCTCGCAAAATCTGGGTGTCCGCGGTGGGTTCTTCTAGCGACTGCGCTCTCGTTGTGGTGCCGCGCGCACGCAAGGGATCGGAGCGGCTTCACTTCGATATGCAGATTTCGTGGCAGGTGCAGTACTTTGGACATGGTCGTGGTCTTCGAGGTGCTCTGATGTCGTGACAGGTGCGGTGAATCGTGACTTTTGGACATGTGGCTCGTTTGCAGATTTTGTGGCAGGCGGAGTACTTTGCCTCGAAGTGCAGATTTCCTGCCTCCAAGTGCAGATTTCGTGGCAGGCACAGCACTTTGCGAAGCTCGAAGTCATTCACACTCACTCTCACTCTCACTCTCACTCACACTCACACTCACACTCACACTCACTCACGCCCACTCACTCTCTCACTCTCACAGTCACACTCACACTCACACCAAATCTCACGCTCACTCTCACTCACACTCACTCTCACTCACACTCACTCTCACTCACCCACTCACCCACCCTCACTCTCACTCTCACTCACAACAGGTCACTCACTCACCACCGCCGCCACCATCACCACGATCTCCACCTTCATCACCACCATCACCCCTCTTGGACCCCAAGGCGTCTAGATCTCTAGACTTTCTGCTACTACATCACACACTTATGGATATGCGTACGGAACTGAAAGCGGTGCCACACGCCGGCCTAGGGTTCCATTTCCTAAGAGTACCAGTAGGAAGCCATCGAATCCTGGAGGTCTTAAAAGGAAAGGAGGCCCAAAGCACAAGGTCGAGATCGGCGATCAGGTCGAAGTGACGGCGTTCCGTGCGTGACTGCCACAAACGTCAAAATTTGTTGCATGTACGTTCCCGAGGCGTCCCTCAGGAATATCACAACACGATGGAAGGGTCTTCGTTGGGCAATGCCTTCCAAAGTGTTCATTGCCCCCCTGCTGATGAAAAACAATTCAAACGAATCCCTGTGACTACAAGGGGCACACACACACGCCTCCCCAAAGGGAGGCAAAAATTAAGGCTAGGACGAAAGTGCAAATGCGCGCGCCACAAGGACAAAAGGGTGAAGACATGAGAAGGGGGACGAGACGGAGACAAAAGTGTGTGTGGTTGCGATGAAAGAGAAACCAAGTGCACAGGGACAACCGATGAATCCCACCTCATTGTCGAGACCTGGGCGACCTAAAACCTGAGTGTGCAAGTAGATGTGCGCGTACAGACTAAGGCCCAGACCGTTGTGCGCGCAAAAGAAAGAAAGGAGTGAGATGAAAGGACATGAAGCAAGGGAAGACATGAAAAGAAAGAGGAGAAAGAGGTGTGTGAAGGGGAAAGAATGAAAAGGGGAACCAAATGGAGGGGACGGGAACCAATGAAGCCGAACCTCATTAGAGAACCTATGCAAACCTGGTTGAAAATGTACATGCTGTGTGTGCATCTGAGGTGGCGACGGGTCCCAACGGACCCTAGATTGCTTCGGCCGCTGCGGCCACGTACGCCGTGCCAATATGGCTGGCTGCTGAGACCGCTGCGGTCACGTAAAGGGATAAGCCAACTTGGAATTCCAAAATGAGACAAAATCTGAGTTCTCTCGGCCTAGGCCACCTTCGCCCGCTGTGGGCACTTACATCTCCGGGCAGGGGAGATAACGACAAACCCCCGTTCGACGGGTCAAGGGGAGGCACTCTGCGGGCTCATCCCGGGTTGGCACGAGGCCAAACACACTTATGGATACGCGTACGGAACTGAAAGCGGTGCCACACGCCGGCCTAGGGTTCCATTTACTAAGAGTACCAGTAGGAAGCCATCGAATCCTGGAGGTCTTAAAAGGAAAGGAGGCCCAAAGCACAAGGTCGAGATCCACGATCAGGTCGAAGTGACGGCGTTCCGTGCGTGACTGCCACAAACGTCAAAATTTGTTGCAGGTACGTTCCCGAGGCGTCCCTCAGGAATATCACAACACGATGGAAGGGTCTTCGTTGGGCAATGCCTTCCAAAGTGTTCATTGCCCCCCTGCTGATGAAAAACAATTCAAACGAATCCCTGTGACTACAAGGGGCACACACACACACACTGTTTGGGGTCTCTTGCCGGGATCATTTGTCATATTCTGACTATCTTTCCCATGCTGTAGGAGTTCCAGCTGTTCTGAGGCTGATGAACTTTGAAGCAGTCATGATGATTGCTGATGTCAATGATTAAAACCCGTGGAAAGCTGAACTAAAAGGTGCAACTTTGCTGATGAATTGAAGCCCTAACCCAAGCACACGAGCCATGCGACAAAATTAGGCTGCAGTAAATTATGATGAATACATTATATCGTATCCAGGCTCTTCTAGCTAGCTCTGCTTTGTAACCGACTTCTTCACTTGCTTCGGCAGGTCCATCCTCTGAGGCTAGTAACTAAGGGTCTGACCATTTGCAGGAACAGCTTGGCCGGCGTGGGTGCTCTCAGAAACATTGGGCAGTGCAGCACCAGCCGGGTTGGTCACAGCTGCGCCTTCACTCTCACCAGGCTGAGTCGTTGCACCTTCGCTAGGCACAGCTTCAGGCGCGGCAGTTGCTGGAGCACTTGCGCCCTCAGGTGCGGGTGTAACCTCACTTGGAACACTTGGTTTCGGCACATCAGGCTGCCCTGCAGCCAAAGCATTTGCTTCTGCCGCAGGCATTGCCTGACTAGGCGCTTCAGGCGGTGCAGCTGCTGGAACGCTGCTTGAAGCAGGTGCCGAAACATGATTTCCAGCAGACGTGGCTGCACCTTCAGCAGGAGCATCTGTTGGCCCTGGAGGTGTAGCCTCACCAGGTGCATGAGGCTGCCCCGCTGCTGGACCAGTGGCTTGCGGCGGAGGTGCTGCCACACCAGGCGCATCAGGCTGTGCAACTGGATCCAGTGCTGGCACACTGCTTGAAGCAGGTGCCGAAACACCATGTCGAGCGGGTGTGGCTGCACCTTCAGCAGGAGCATCCGCTTGCGGCGCAGGTGTTGCCTTGTCAGGCGTTGCTTTCTCTGCTTCCTTGGAACCTTCGCTTGGCGGGCTTGCCACATCAGGCTCTGCAGCTTTAGAAGCATCTGCTTCTGGTGAAGGTGTTGCCTCACCAGAAGCATTAGGCTGCCCCGCTGCCGGACCAGTGGCTTGCGGCGGAGGTGCTGCCACACCAGGGGCATCAGGCTGTGCAACTGGATCCAGTGCTGGCACACTGCTTGAAGCAGGTGCCGAAACACCATGTCGAGCGGGTGTGGCTGCACCTTCAGCAGGAGCATCTGCTTGCGGCGCAGGTGTTGCCTTGACAGGTGTTGCTTTCTCTGCTTCCTCGGAACCTTCGCTTTGCGGGCTTGCCACATTAGGCTGTGCAGCTTTAGAATCATCTGCTTGCGGGGCAGGTGTTACCTTGTCAGGCGTTGCTTTCTCTGCTTCCTTCGAACCTTCGCTTGGTGGGCTTGTCACATTAGGCTCCGCAGCTTTAGAAGGATCTGCATCTGGCGCAGGTTTTGCCTCGTCAGGCGTGGCTTTCTCTGCTTCCTTGGAACCTTCGCTTGGCGGGCTTGCCACATTAGGCTCCGCAGCTTTAGAAGGATCTGCTTCTGGCGCAGGTTTTGCCTCGTCAGGCGTGGCTTTCTCTGCTTCCTTGGAACCTTCGCTTGGCGGGCTTGCCACATTAGGCTCTGCAACTGCCGGAGCATTTGCTTGTGGTGCAGGTGTTGCTTCGCCTAGTGCACCTTCACCCTCACTCAAATCCACCTTGGCCCCACCGTGACCTGCCACTGTGGGATCCTTGGTCTGTCCATCGCTTGGCTCGGTGTCTTCGTCATCATCATCCGTCTCACCAGCACTTGGGCTGCCTGCCCCATCACCTTCGGCCCCTTCGGGGCCTTCAGGCGCAGGTACACCATCGCCTTCGGAGCCTCCGGGGCCTTCGCGGCCTTCAGGGTCTGGCTCTCCAGGGACTGTAGGTAAACCCTTGCCTTCAGCTGCAGCCTGGTTCGAGTAACCATATTCGCTCTCATCAGCTTCTTTGTCCTTCTCCCAGACTTCGTCCTTACCATTGCCTGTCCGGGAAGGTGGACCGGTGTCGGGGGGAATGAGACTTCAAGCCATCTATATATATATATATCTATATATATATATATATCGTATCTATATATATTATATTCTATATCTTGTGTATATATATATACATATAATCATATAATGATTCTTCTCCCCCCACCAGAGTTGTCGTCCACTTGGCCATCTGCAGGGTCATCGTCCACCTGGTCATCTCGTGGGCGGAAGGGATCGATCTTCCCATCGACCTTGCCATCATCTGTCCCTTGGACCTTGTCATCATCGTCGCCTTCATCAGGCCCCGCCTTGGATCAGAACTGCGCTACAAAAAGGTCTGGCAGCAGACCGTCGCCTCAAAATGCCTCAAATATTCATCAAATCTGAATGAGTGAAATACTAGGCCAGCTGGGTGGGGTTGGGCTGGAAGTTGGGCTACGTATATTCTGGGCAGGCCCCACTTCCAGTTGGGAATAAGCCAGGCAGCACCCTTCTCATCATCATCGCCGCCATCGCCCCCCTTCGGGCCACCCAGCCCGTCTTGACCAGGTGACGGACTGGGATCCTGAAATTTGCGGGAGAACGTTTGGACAACACCTAAAACAACAATGACATGGTTTGTGTCACCATGGCTCACTCAGCCTGGAGGAAGTTCTGTTTGGCGGGCTGATCAAGATTCTGGCCACCTGCCACACCACCAGCGCGCAACGTGGCACAGGGGAAGCGGCTCGTGCTGGACCCTCCCTCCAAACAAACATGGTTGGTCACCAAGTTTAACGGTTAGTCCTTTGGCCAATGATGCTCTTATTCCAGCATGTGATCTGACTGGGGGACAGGCAACTCAGGGGGTGTTCGTTGCGATCATGGTGTTGGTTTGTCCTTTGTACTAGAACTTCTCCTATGCATGGGCTGGTATTGCTCTTGACGGGTGGGTTTTGAAGCCCCTCGGCCCTGGGCAGGTCATTCCAGGATTTCTCACATGGTGCTGGTGCATGTCGTCCATCATCAGCGGGTGTCGAAGCCCCTTTCCAGTGAAAAATCTACTTGCGCCAAATCTGTCACTACGGACCTTCTGAAAGCCACAAAGCTGGCCGGGCCTCCGTGGCAGTCAATCTAAATAAGCCCCCACAAAATGTTTCAGAAGACCCTCACTCACTCTGCTCCCCAAAGAAAACGCAAACCATCAAGTTAACATAAACAAAACTCACTCCCCAAAGGCAAGTTCCCACCCTTGTCATCTTCCTTTCACTGGGCGCGCCCGGATCATCCGGGCAATCCACTTCTACTGCTGGGGGCCACTCGACCAATCGTCTCGACCACTCGACCAGTCGTCTCACCTGGATGCTGAAGACTCTGAGGTTCGGCCTTCTTCGGACCTGAAGGGCCTGCAGGGGAGCAGGCCAGCGGTCAGGAATGCAAAGACAAACTGCACAGTGACATTGGCAGTGCTACGCTCCCGGATGTTGAAGGAGTTGGGTGATTCCAACATTCTGACCGCTTTTCAGGTCGTCATCCCGCTCTGATCTGTCCTGCTTCAATGGGCCCTGGGAACATCACCACCTTCACAAGCACCAGGAAGAGCAGGCAAATGCCCACAGCCACCAGCGCACTGGCCTTCGGGCTCAACCTGAGAGCTCGGCCCGTTGGGGCGCCGGGAGGAGCTGGCGAGAGCTCGGCCCAGTTTCAGTCAACGCCCCCTATGCGGTAGAACACAATTGGTTGAAAATGTTCAAATCCGCCGACCCCTGCTTAGCCTTGGCCTAAGCGGGGCGGCGCCTCGGACAGCGCAGCGAGAAGCCATCACCAACGACTTTGGCCGCATGCTGCATGCCTGCAACGCAGGCCTGCCAAAGCCGGTGCACCGCAGCCTTGCCTGCCAAAGCCGGTGCATGTCACTCTTTAGGCGTTTCGAAAGCACTGTTTGCCAGGCTTCAAACGCCTCTCGGCAGCCGGCAGGGCCGTTGGCCAGGCCACAGCCCTTCCCGGGACCTTTGGCTGCACATGCCTGCACCGCAGCCTTGCCTGCCAAAGCCGGTGCATGTCACTCTTTAGGCGTTTCGAAAGCACTGTTTGCCAGGCTTCAAACGCCTCTCGGCACCTTGCCTGCCAAAGCCGGCGCATGTCACTCCTTAGGCGTTTCGAAAGCGCCGTTTGCCAGGCGTCAAACGCCTCTCGGCACCCAGCAGGGCCGTTGGCCAGGCTCCACAGCCCTTCCCGGGACCTTTGGCTGCACATGCCTACACCTTGCCTGCCAAAGCCGGTGCATGTCACTCCTTAAGCGTTTCGAAAGCGCCGTTTGCCAGCCCTCAAAAGCCTCTCGGCACCCAGCAGGGCCGTTGGCCAGGCTCGACAGCCCTTCCCGGGACCTTTGGCTGCACATGCCTGCACCGCAGCCTTGCCTGCCAAAGCCGGTGCATGTCACTCCTTAGGCGTTTCGAAAGCGGGTAAGGGATCAAAATAAAAATATAAATAGAATCCAAAAAAATATTCAACGGGGATCAATAAAAAATAAAAAGGTAATCAAAAATAATATTCTAGCCCACTGAGGATGGTTGGGGTAGTACTAGTAGCAGTAGCAGTAGCAGCAGCAGCAGCACCAGCGTAGCAGTAGCAGTAGCAGTAGCAGTAGCAGTCAGCAGCAGCAGCAGCAGGAGCAGCAGCAGCGCAGCAGCAGCAGGAGGAGGAGTAGTAGTAGTAGTGGTAGCAGTAGCAGTAGTCACGGCGTTCACACGAAGTTAGGCCCTACATGGCGTTGTCAGAGCGCTCGGAGACAGAAGGACTAGGATACCAGGGGACCAGCGGACCACAGGACCAGAGGACCAGGAGACCGGAGGACTAGGGGATGAGTGGACTAAAGGACCAAGCGACCAGGGGACCAAAGGATCAGTGGACCAAGGGACCACATTACCAGAGGACCCGCAGACCACAAGGCCAGGAGAGCAGCAGAAAAGGCCTATCAAGGAATATTGATTTTTTGATGCGCTTTTTATGTATTTTTTGATCCTGTTTTTTTTGGATGCTCTTTATATTTTTTTGATACCTATGCCTTCGAAAGCGACGTTTGCCAGGCTTCAAAGGCCTCTCGGCAGCCGGCAGGGCCGTTGGCCAGGCTCCACAGCCCTTCCCGGGACCTTTGGCT